GGGCTGCCCCACCCCCGCCAGCAGCTCCGGGGCCTCCTCTGGACTTACTCCAGCAGCTCCACGTCCCTCTTGTGCTGAGGACACCAGAGCTGCACCCAGTGCTGCAGATGGGGTCTCACCAGAGGGGCAGAATCACCTCCATGACCTGCTGCTCATGCTCCTTTCGATGCAGCCCAGCACACGGGTGGTTTCTGGGTTCACGCACACACTGCCCCAACTTGGTTTATTGCTGCTCCTCCCAAAATTGGTTTAAACTGTGAAACAAAGCAAGAACTCGGTGAGATTACCACGAATGTGAGATGTTATCAAAACCTCTGCACTGTGTCTGGCAGATGCCCCATCTCCCCTCCAGGGATCCTTCCCTCCTGGTCCCACACAGGGCACATAGAAAACAGACACACATAAGGCTCCTCTGTCTCTGTCTCTGTGCTCATGTCTCCAGTTAAACCATGGAGGGTGGACCAGGTTGCTGTGAAATTTCACCACTGTTGTAAATTTACAGGGAGAAGAAGATCACAATGAGAACATGATTCCCAAAGGCAGGAGCCGTGTTCTGAGCAGAGCTGGTGAAACCACAGAGGACAACCCCAGCTCTGCCAAGACTCTGCCTAACTTCAGACCAACCACCATAGCCAGGCTCCTGGAAGCAGAACATTAAAACCAGGGCTGGAAAGAAGGGATAACAGGCTCCTGCTGCAGAGTTTCATTGAGGAAGGACCACGGAGTCCATGAACATCCTCCATTAGGATATACCCTGCAAAGAAAAGGAGACTTTCTTCCCCAAAAAGTGCCTCCATTGCTTGTAACCGTGCAAGTCTCAGCTGAGAACGGAAGTACTTGGCATCAACAGCAATGAAGCAGCCAGCAAGGAAGGATATTGCCTTCTCCAATGGAGAAGACCAAGGAGACTCACAGTCAGCGTAGTTGCTGAGAAGTAGAGCTGGGATTAGAGTCTGGGTAGGGATGGGTAACCCAGTCGCTATGCTGTGCTGCTACCATCTGCCACCTTCATAGAGTGGGCTTGTATTGGAAGGGACCCTAAAGCTCCTCCAGCTCCAACCCCTGCCCCGGGCAGGGACACCTTCCACTAGAGCAGGTTGCTCCAAGCCCCTGTGTCCAACCTGCCCTTGAACACTGCCAGGGATGGGGCAGCCACAGCTTCTCTGGGCACCCTGTGCCAGCACCTCAGCACCCTCACAGGGAAGAGCTTCTGCCTCAGAGCTCATCTCAGTCTCCCCTCTGGCAGGTTCAAGCCATTGCCCTTGGCCTGTCCCTGCCTTCAGCAGCAGCAGAGCTGATGCAATTCCTAAGTGGAAAACCAGTTTCCATAGTATTGAATGGAAAATGGACAAACACTGTAAAACACCAAAACCAACCCTGTTACCCCTGTGATGCCTGGAGGGTCCCTGCAGCTCTTCAGAGAATCAACTAGGTTGGAAAAACCCTTTAAGATCAAGTCCAACCACCAGGTTAGATATAAGGAAGAGGTTCCTTAGTGTGAGGATGGGGAAGTGCTGGAACAGGCTGCCCAAAGAAGTGATAAATGCTCCATCCCTGGCAGTGTTCAAGGCCAGGCTGGATGGAGTCTTAGGTGACATGGTTTAGTGTGTCCCCATGGCAAGGGACTTGGAACTGGATGATCTTAAGGTCCTTCCCAACCCAACCCATTCTATAATCTTCGCTTTACTCTGCTTTCCCCAGCAACTCCATGGCATGGACATTCTCCTCCCAGGACCCATGCGGCAGACTCCTGTTTGAGAGGAACATCAGCACTTTAGGTGGACACGTGTTGTTAGCTCAGATCACAGAGCTGCAGGAGGCGCAGCGATGTCTCCCTGATGAGGGAACATGGTGCTTCCACTATCCATAAAAGCTTTAGCAAATCCATCTGTGTCCCAGCCCTCCTGAAGCCTGTAGCTGTTTTTCCAGCTGTATGCCATCAGTTTGGAAGGAGACTGAAAAAGAACTGCAGTCCCATCTCACGTGAATCAGGATTTGAAGCCAGCAAAGCAGCCAGGTCTTCAGCACATCCTCTTTGCCCAAATATTCCCATTTGGATCAATATGGGCTCGATGAATGATAAGCGAAAGGGCTGGGGAAGGACATTGTGGTTGAAATCAGGCTTGGAAAGAAAACAAACAGAGAGGAGCCATGAAGAGAAGACACATAAGTTGAGAGATACTAATCAGTTTTATTTTATAAATACAGATGAGCTTTCCTGCAATTACCAACATGGTTTTAATGTGGCATTTACTAGGGGATGTTCTGGGTTTGCTTATTTTAAATACCTGGTCAAGCAAGGATAAGCCAACGCTGTTGTGCTTGCTAGAAAAATAGAGTGGGATAAGATCTTCCAAAACTAATAATCTCAAAAATCTCAGGAATTCCTGGTGAGGGGAAAGGATTGCAATGAAATGTGTTCTCCACTTGAAGACATTTGCAGACATTTAACAGTGTCACAGCTGTGCAGGAACTGAAAGGCTCTTGACAGTTGAAAGCACGCTGTGATATATCATCTCACCTCCAAACCTACTCTTTGTTTCTCTCCCACTATGCTCTTTTCAAAGCTATTTAAAGAGGGGGAAGAAATAAACACAAAGGCAGCGGCTATGAGGTGGTTGGAGGGTGTTCAACCCCGTCCTCACAGCAATGAGAGCTTTGTTAATGCTTTAACTAGCCCCACGACACCGTCCCCCTTCCCACCGCCTTCCAGATGGAAAGTGGTAAAAGTGGAAGAGAAACACAGGGACGAGTTTAGGGCTACTAAAGACACATCCATAGGAAACCCGTCGCAGACTCGTGCGGCAGATGCAGGAGTCAACTGTCGCGTCTGCCACATCAAGTACAGGGTTCAAACAGGACCAGCAACAGGACATCAAGGGGAGGGAAATGACTTCATTTGGCTGGGTGCAACCTGAGAAAATCTGCAACTAGTGATAAAAACCAATCCCAAGCCCCACTGATGCTCTATGAACCTAATCTCACACGTGGCTGAATTGCAACGGAGACGCTCCATGTTTGCCTACGAAACACAGCGGCTGCACAACTACTCTTTGGGTTGCTTTGCAAAGTCACCACCACACAGAAGCTAATGCCTTTCTGTCATAGAGGAAAAGAGGGTGCCTACAAACAGGTCTGTGCTGCTCTGAGGTCCTGCAGGTGCACAGTTGACTCGGTGTCACCCAATTGCACCTAAAATGATAGTGCTATCAGAAGATGGCAAGAGAGGGTCACTGGACAGAGTATCTTCTGCCCACTTCATGAGTAAGTGGTGTGCTTTCAGGTGTTCATTTCCTCCTTCTCTACATCAATGCACAGGAAGAGCTTCCTACCTATGTCATGGAGTGCTTAAAGGGGAAGCTCTTCATGAAGTTGGAATAAAGGAGCTTATTCAGGGGAGAAGATACTCATGGATGTGTCCCATTCCATGCCCAATCTGCACCTAAAATCATGACTTACAGAATCGAGGCTTCTGTTTCCACCTAGCACATCCTAGTGGGACAGACCAAAGACCATGAATCACTGTAGCAAGGCTCGATCCAGCAACACAACTGCAGACACAACCCTTAAAAGCTAACAGAAGAAATGTGAATATAGTTCTAATATGATCATTAAGGTGTTACCTGGAAAGATGCATATTCTAGAAGAGTGCTATTATGATGTATATTGGTTCTCACATACACGTCTTGCTTCGACAACAGAGAGTTGAGGTTATACATATCCACATTTGAAGTTAATTTAGGCTAGCCTTATGTGAAGTTAGGAAAAAGACTAGGTCATTGGTTCAAAAGGAAGCATAGACCAGGGAGGGGCAGGGGGAAAAAAGCCAGGCATGAGGAAGTGGTGTTTATTCTGCTATATATCTTTATATTTGAGAGCTCAAACCCGAGCCCCAATTCTTGGGTATACAATATAGAAAGCAAAGAGCAACGAAATCCAAACTGAAACAAATACCAGGAATCACTAAACAGGCTGCAAACTGCTTTCCCATTAGTGCAGCTGAACACATGTGCCAGTGGTAACCTACCTAAGAGCAAAACCACATCTCCAGCAAAGCACTGGAGGTTTCTTCCTTCAGAGTACAGATGGTTAAAAGGGTATTCATTGAGATGAATGATGCTGAGTGCCTCCTTTCTACAGATTCCACGGATTTGCCTAATTCCAAAGTGCTGACTGCATTTTTAGGTGGGGTTTTATCATGAAGGCTCTTGTGAAGTGCCTCATGGCACATGGACCCCGTTGGACACCTCAGAAGGTGGCCACTGAACCCCACTTGGTGCATTTGTTAGGTCTCTGCTGATGAGGTTGAAGTGGGGAATGGTCAGGCTGAGACTTTTATACGGAACCTTAGAGATGATTTACTCCTCAAAGGCTTCTACTGGTAGGAAGAGTATAAAGAAGGAGGGAAAGGAAAACACTAAATGTCATTTCTGATTCATCAGGTGCAAGGAAACTGCAGATATCACAGAGGTGCTCATTCTCTGGCAAGTGTACACCACCAACTGAAGACCCATCAGTGCAAACTAGAACTTGAAAGGCTACAGAGCACAGCCAAGAGAAAGCAGTCCAATGGTAAAGAAAACAAAAATCCATGGTATTTCTGGAACACTGACTACATTGCTCAAGGAAACACAGGAGTACATGGGAGAAAGTAAAGAGATCTGACCATAAATGTGCTTTTACATTAACTTCTTGGTTTTTCTTCTGAAAAGGATTAAAATAAATTTGACTTTAAAGAATAATTAAGAAATAAACAAATACTCATAGAAGGGCCTGATCAGCACTAGAAGTTGTTTTCAGGAAAGCCTTTATAAATGGATTCCAATGCCTAAAAAAACCCCCAACCTTCCAACAGATTATAAATACCATATAAGAGGACTGGAAGCAGAATCAAAATGTACCTGGGCTGTGAATATACCATGATCCTGTGTTACCGTGCTCAAGTCCATTTGTCTACCACCATAGGAAATAGCTTTAGCTGTTTTTATTTTTCTTTTTTATATAATTAATATAAAGAATAAGTGCAATTTTACTTCTATTCCCAGATCACTGATTTCACCTCAATGTCTGCTATCAACCCCCTGGTCCCAGCTCACTTGTCCGAACTCTTCCGCGGCCTGCGGAAGCTGGACACGTTCTCGTTCAGTGCATAGATCCTTCGAGAGAACTCCTCAAACTCCCCTAGGACTTGTTCATCACATTCCACCGCCACGGCGTGTTCCACTGGGATGGAGTTAAAGTCTTCCAGCTGATCTCCCGAGCTGAACCCCGTCGCTTCCATCCCCATGATCTCCTCTGCTTGCTCCACGGTGCAGCAAAGGACGGGGTTGAGCGTGGGGCGGAACTCACAGGGCTGCTCGTTGCTTGTGGTGCCAGAGCACTCACCAGGCAGGAAAGCCCCATTTATTGCACTAGTAGGTCCTAGGAAAGACTCCTGCTGGTCTTGGGTGTTGTTTAAGCTCCCATTTTCTCCATTTAAACTGCTGCATAAGTTCTCACCTTTCTTGGTATTTCCTTTCGAGGAGTCCATAGAGGTATCCAAGGAAGAAGATATCGATCCAGGTTTTTTATCTAACTCTCCTACACGGGTTGTGATGGCAACAGGTTGTGTTAAAGCCGAGCTGTAGCTAGGAGGAGGAGTTTTGTGCTGCAGTCTCTCGTTCCCCGTGCTGGCTCGTTTTCGGAGTCCTTTATCTGGAGAAGGAAGCCCACTGGAAAAGCCAATATCCAACCTGCCGAAGCTAGAGCTCTGTCTCTTTGGAACGGGAATCGCGTTGGATGTATGGTGTCGATCACTGGAAAAGAAGGAAAGGATAAATCACAGCTGTCAGGCACGTTCATGAGCAATACAGACATTTAACCAAAGGCTGAAGCAATTACTTTATCACAACTCCAAGCTCCGCTTGGCCAACTACTTGTATCCTGAAGTGCTAAAACCTCAACCGTGTTTAATGCTGTATGAACTACAGAAGACACCCCAGAGGACAGCTTTACTGAAAAGCAGGAAGATCCTGTAGGAACATTTACAAAGCTCTATGATTTGAAGAGTCAATCACCCAAGAAACCACCACATTATGTTAATTTGGACTGTTAACACCATTTTATGGGACCGAGCTGTGCTGTATGAATTACTACTGTTGACCGTACAGCTATGTATTTAGGGCCTGTCCTGGGCCATCATAAACTCCTCAAAAGTGAGTCTGAATCCTCTCAGAGTGACTTCTTGCAAGAGTGGACTCTCCTGACAGCTACACAAAGGAGTAAAACCACACTAACTTTGCTCTTTGCAGAGGATTCTTTTTGCCACATCTTCTCCTTTCCTGTGCCAATCATTCCAAAGCTTTTTGGACAAACGTCAACCTCTGTTTCTTGAGGAGCAGGAACTAATCCAGCTTCATTTACAAGTTTGAGTTTACTATTTAGTACCATTCCACAGGCCACTTACGCTGTGTCTCAGGTTCTATCATTTGGGACGTCCACATCCCATCATCTGGGGTGTGTTATGTGAGTTTGCCTTCATCAGCTTAATCCTTACCCAAATAGAATCACAGGCCTATATACAAATAGGGTGCTGTGTATTAACTAAAGCAACTGCTTCATTTTCCTTCCAAACTTCATAAGGAATACAGCTATTACTGATGTGCTGAATATGTAACTCTAAGATCCTACTGTTGTCAATATGAGTCTCCTTCATTAACTCCATTTAAAAGAAACTCTACTTGAGGCCTGACACATTTTAGGAGCTGTCTTGCAGGGGAAAATCTTGGAGTAGCAGTTAGGAGTAGTCCCCAGCATGGATCCTTTTCCATGTTATTTTTCTTTTCTTGCTCCCCTTTGTAAACAGGATAAGATAGATTGCAAAAAGACCCTCTGAGAAAAAGCAGCACCGCCATGGGAGGGGAGCACTGAGTACTGCTACTCTTTAATTTCCTCTCCCATCTCACCTCCTCTCAGGCTGCCCTTTAATACATGCATAGAACTTCCTTCTCTTCCATAAACCTGCTCTAGTGGAAGGTGTCCCTGCCCGTGACGGGGGTTGGAGCTGGAGGAGCTTTAAGCTCCTTTCCAACCCAAACCATTTTCTGATTCTATGAAGTCTTGGAGAGCTCGAACTCAAGGCAAAGCCAGTTCACAGTCTGAGAAAATAAAACCTGCTTCTCTGTTGTGCTGGACCCTGCTTCAAACTTGCTCAAATTCATTCTTCTTAGGTCAGACTCAAAGACTTCAGTATGGCAGAACACTGCCTAACTGTCAAACCCCAAACTACCTTCAGCAAAGGGCTTATCAGCCCCATGTAGGCACAACAGCAGCTTTTCTGTGCAGCAGAAGAAAGCAGCAGCAGCAGCAGAAAATCAAGTGTCTAAGTAAACCAGCATGAGAACTGTGGTGTTTAATTAGCTCGGGAGAAGCAGCTTTACAAACTGTTGTGGTGGGCATATAAATTTAAGTTCCTCCTAAAGAGAAACATGCCCAAATTCCTTTGTAAATCTAGGCCTCAGAGGCAAATGGGTGAGAAATTAATTAGTCTGCAGGAGCAGGAGAGTTCTTAAAGAGCTTGTTATGACAAGGCCATTCAAGCTAACACGTTATGTATGCCTGAACAATACCTCTTTAGACCAGCAGCCAAAGAAAATCTTCCCTTCCTTAGTAAGCTGAAGTGGCAGGATGATGTATACTAAGTGATCTAACAGCCTAAATGTATCAGCAATACAAAGCTAATCTCCCTCATCCACAAAATAACTTCCCAGTTAATAGAGTACATGAGGGCTGCCCCATAGGGCAGTAAAGCAGGAAAAAAATGATCTTCATTTATCATGCAAGTGTTCAAAGTAATGAATTAGAACAAAAAGCACTTGCAGGCAGGATCCTCAAACTACATGCAATGGAATGGACCTTACTTAAGACTGCAGAACCAGGTTTTAAGCTGCTGGAGACACACGTGGGCAGATTTCTGAAACCATCTATTGTTGCCAATAAATACAAATGGGATGGGTTTAGCTTCAGTTGGGAATAAATACAGGGATAACGGCCCAAATGTGAGAAAGCA